TATATATATATATATATATATATATATATATATATATATATATATATATACGAGAAAAATTGATTTACGTAATATCCGTTTATCAAGGAAAACATATTGTTCGAACGAGAGATAAATTCTTCTCTTTCTCTCTTTTTTCTCTCATCAAAATATATGAAATATTATTATTGAAATATTATTATGAAATATTATATATGAAATCATTAATTTCGCCGCGTTAAAGTCAAAGTGACGCAACAGAAAATATGAAATATAAAAAAATTTGTTTTCAATTTTGTTATCAAAATAATTATATATTTACACGAAACATAATTATTTCAACAATGTTAGATATTTAAATGACACTTTTCTTGTTGCTGGAGAATGGTGTAGTGAAAGAGACAATATCGAGACAGGACAGTGTGTGAACGTTGCATAAATTGAGGAACTATCTTATCTTAGTAAAGAAATAAGAAATAAGAAATATATGTATGTTTTATATGTATTTTTATTATATATTTTTATGTTTATAATTTTATGTATATTTTTTAATGTTTTTTAAATTAATCGTACACTTGACATACTCTTACACGAAAAAAAAGATTTGCTAATATATGGACAAATAAAAATATTAACTGCAGGAGCAAATTTTCTTGCTTTCATAGCAAAGTTATTTAGTTGTGATAGCTAAAAGATTTGCTAATATATGGACAAATAAAAATATTAACTGCAGGAGCAAATTTTCTTGCTTTCATAGCAAAGTTATTTAGTTGTGATAGCTAAAAGATTTGCTAATATATGGACAAATAAAAATATTAACTGCAGGAGCAAATTTTCTTGCTTTCATAGCAAAGTTATTTAGTTGTGATAGCTAAAAGATTTGCTAATATATGGACAAATAAAAATATTAACTGCAGGAGCAAATTTTCTTGCTTTCATAGCAAAGTTATTTAGTTGTGATAGCTAAAAGATTTGCTAATATATGGACAAATAAAAATATTAACTGCAGGAGCAAATTTTCTTGCTTTCATAGCAAAGTTATTTAGTTGTGATAGCTAAAAGATTTGCTAATATATGGACAAATAAAAATATTAACTGCAGGAGCAAATTTTCTTGCTTTCATAGCAAAGTTATTTAGTTGTGATAGCTAAAAGATTTGCTAATATATGGACAAATAAAAATATTAACTGCAGGAGCAAATTTTCTTGCTTTCATAGCAAAGTTATTTAGTTGTGATAGCTAAAAGATTTGCTAATATATGGACAAATAAAAATATTAACTGCAGGAGCAAATTTTCTTGCTTTCATAGCAAAGTTATTTAGTTGTGATAGCTAAAAGATTTGCTAATATATGGACAAATAAAAATATTAACTGCAGGAGCAAATTTTCTTGCTTTCATAGCAAAGTTATTTAGTTGTGATAGCTAAAAGATTTGCTAATATATGGACAAATAAAAATATTAACTGCAGGAGCAAATTTTCTTGCTTTCATAGCAAAGTTATTTAGTTGTGATAGCTAAAAGATTTGCTAATATATGGACAAATAAAAATATTAACTGCAGGAGCAAATTTTCTTGCTTTCATAGCAAAGTTATTTAGTTGTGATAGCTAAAAGATTTGCTAATATATGGACAAATAAAAATATTAACTGCAGGAGCAAATTTTCTTGCTTTCATAGCAAAGTTATTTAGTTGTGATAGCTAAAAGATTTGCTAATATATGGACAAATAAAAATATTAACTGCAGGAGCAAATTTTCTTGCTTTCATAGCAAAGTTATTTAGTTGTGATAGCTAAAAGATTTGCTAATATATGGACAAATAAAAATATTAACTGCAGGAGCAAATTTTCTTGCTTTCATAGCAAAGTTATTTAGTTGTGATAGCTAAAAGATTTGCTAATATATGGACAAATAAAAATATTAACTGCAGGAGCAAATTTTCTTGCTTTCATAGCAAAGTTATTTAGTTGTGATAGCTAAAAGATTTGCTAATATATGGACAAATAAAAATATTAACTGCAGGAGCAAATTTTCTTGCTTTCATAGCAAAGTTATTTAGTTGTGATAGCTAAAAGATTTGCTAATATATGGACAAATAAAAATATTAACTGCAGGAGCAAATTTTCTTGCTTTCATAGCAAAGTTATTTAGTTGTGATAGCTAAAAGATTTGCTAATATATGGACAAATAAAAATATTAACTGCAGGAGCAAATTTTCTTGCTTTCATAGCAAAGTTATTTAGTTGTGATAGCTAAAAGATTTGCTAATATATGGACAAATAAAAATATTAACTGCAGGAGCAAATTTTCTTGCTTTCATAGCAAAGTTATTTAGTTGTGATAGCTAAAAGATTTGCTAATATATGGACAAATAAAAATATTAACTGCAGGAGCAAATTTTCTTGCTTTCATAGCAAAGTTATTTAGTTGTGATAGCTAAAAGATTTGCTAATATATGGACAAATAAAAATATTAACTGCAGGAGCAAATTTTCTTGCTTTCATAGCAAAGTTATTTAGTTGTGATAGCTAAAAGATTTGCTAATATATGGACAAATAAAAATATTAACTGCAGGAGCAAATTTTCTTGCTTTCATAGCAAAGTTATTTAGTTGTGATAGCTAAAAGATTTGCTAATATATGGACAAATAAAAATATTAACTGCAGGAGCAAATTTTCTTGCTTTCATAGCAAAGTTATTTAGTTGTGATAGCTAAAAGATTTGCTAATATATGGACAAATAAAAATATTAACTGCAGGAGCAAATTTTCTTGCTTTCATAGCAAAGTTATTTAGTTGTGATAGCTAAAAGATTTGCTAATATATGGACAAATAAAAATATTAACTGCAGGAGCAAATTTTCTTGCTTTCATAGCAAAGTTATTTAGTTGTGATAGCTAAAAGATTTGCTAATATATGGACAAATAAAAATATTAACTGCAGGAGCAAATTTTCTTGCTTTCATAGCAAAGTTATTTAGTTGTGATAGCTAAAAGATTTGCTAATATATGGACAAATAAAAATATTAACTGCAGGAGCAAATTTTCTTGCTTTCATAGCAAAGTTATTTAGTTGTGATAGCTAAAAGATTTGCTAATATATGGACAAATAAAAATATTAACTGCAGGAGCAAATTTTCTTGCTTTCATAGCAAAGTTATTTAGTTGTGATAGCTAAAAGATTTGCTAATATATGGACAAATAAAAATATTAACTGCAGGAGCAAATTTTCTTGCTTTCATAGCAAAGTTATTTAGTTGTGATAGCTAAAAGATTTGCTAATATATGGACAAATAAAAATATTAACTGCAGGAGCAAATTTTCTTGCTTTCATAGCAAAGTTATTTAGTTGTGATAGCTAAAAGATTTGCTAATATATGGACAAATAAAAATATTAACTGCAGGAGCAAATTTTCTTGCTTTCATAGCAAAGTTATTTAGTTGTGATAGCTAAAAGATTTGCTAATATATGGACAAATAAAAATATTAACTGCAGGAGCAAATTTTCTTGCTTTCATAGCAAAGTTATTTAGTTGTGATAGCTAAAAGATTTGCTAATATATGGACAAATAAAAATATTAACTGCAGGAGCAAATTTTCTTGCTTTCATAGCAAAGTTATTTAGTTGTGATAGCTAAAAGATTTGCTAATATATGGACAAATAAAAATATTAACTGCAGGAGCAAATTTTCTTGCTTTCATAGCAAAGTTATTTAGTTGTGATAGCTAAAAGATTTGCTAATATATGGACAAATAAAAATATTAACTGCAGGAGCAAATTTTCTTGCTTTCATAGCAAAGTTATTTAGTTGTGATAGCTAAAAGATTTGCTAATATATGGACAAATAAAAATATTAACTGCAGGAGCAAATTTTCTTGCTTTCATAGCAAAGTTATTTAGTTGTGATAGCTAAAAGATTTGCTAATATATGGACAAATAAAAATATTAACTGCAGGAGCAAATTTTCTTGCTTTCATAGCAAAGTTATTTAGTTGTGATAGCTAAAAGATTTGCTAATATATGGACAAATAAAAATATTAACTGCAGGAGCAAATTTTCTTGCTTTCATAGCAAAGTTATTTAGTTGTGATAGCTAAAAGATTTGCTAATATATGGACAAATAAAAATATTAACTGCAGGAGCAAATTTTCTTGCTTTCATAGCAAAGTTATTTAGTTGTGATAGCTAAAAGATTTGCTAATATATGGACAAATAAAAATATTAACTGCAGGAGCAAATTTTCTTGCTTTCATAGCAAAGTTATTTAGTTGTGATAGCTAAAAGATTTGCTAATATATGGACAAATAAAAATATTAACTGCAGGAGCAAATTTTCTTGCTTTCATAGCAAAGTTATTTAGTTGTGATAGCTAAAAGATTTGCTAATATATGGACAAATAAAAATATTAACTGCAGGAGCAAATTTTCTTGCTTTCATAGCAAAGTTATTTAGTTGTGATAGCTAAAAGATTTGCTAATATATGGACAAATAAAAATATTAACTGCAGGAGCAAATTTTCTTGCTTTCATAGCAAAGTTATTTAGTTGTGATAGCTAAAAGATTTGCTAATATATGGACAAATAAAAATATTAACTGCAGGAGCAAATTTTCTTGCTTTCATAGCAAAGTTATTTAGTTGTGATAGCTAAAAGATTTGCTAATATATGGACAAATAAAAATATTAACTGCAGGAGCAAATTTTCTTGCTTTCATAGCAAAGTTATTTAGTTGTGATAGCTAAAAGATTTGCTAATATATGGACAAATAAAAATATTAACTGCAGGAGCAAATTTTCTTGCTTTCATAGCAAAGTTATTTAGTTGTGATAGCTAAAAGATTTGCTAATATATGGACAAATAAAAATATTAACTGCAGGAGCAAATTTTCTTGCTTTCATAGCAAAGTTATTTAGTTGTGATAGCTAAAAGATTTGCTAATATATGGACAAATAAAAATATTAACTGCAGGAGCAAATTTTCTTGCTTTCATAGCAAAGTTATTTAGTTGTGATAGCTAAAAGATTTGCTAATATATGGACAAATAAAAATATTAACTGCAGGAGCAAATTTTCTTGCTTTCATAGCAAAGTTATTTAGTTGTGATAGCTAAAAGATTTGCTAATATATGGACAAATAAAAATATTAACTGCAGGAGCAAATTTTCTTGCTTTCATAGCAAAGTTATTTAGTTGTGATATATATATATATATTTAGTTGCTAATATATATATTAGCAAATCTTTTAGCTATCACAACTAAATAACTTTGCTATAAAAGCAAGAAAATTTGCTCCTGCAACTAATATTTTTAGTTGTTCATATATTAGCAAATCTTTTTTTTTCGTATATGCCTCGATTTTCACGTGTGCCATTCAGCGGGGCTAAAGCGCCATGCGACCGCGACGATACTTTCATACCAAGCGTTGAAGTCACCGGCTTAAATTCGGCCAGGGGAGACGCGCGGGTCGCGCATCTGCATAGGCGCGCACGCACGTACGCGCACGCATACACACGCGCACAGGCGAAATCGTAAACAAGAGATCGCGTACAAAGCCGCGGAGATCCGCACATCCGCCCGGGAGGAACAATGTAACCCGACTTCCGGTCAAACATTGGCACGTGCACGCACCGAACGGTCTCGAGCCGACGCGCCGTGTCGCAACCGCCTCTTTATTTCTTCTCGTTTTGACTGATAGCCAATTGCGAAAAGATCCCGTATCGCAGCCCGGGTCTCCGGGCTGCGGATCGACGCATTCGATTGTCTCATTGAGTAATTACCGTTAGCCGTAATATTAACTATTAGCCCGGACTGATTTTCGCCGCAAGGTTCGTGCTGGGTTCGCGCCGCGTGGGTCTTGTTGTGTACACTTCACGATGCAACAACTGAACCGTACGCGATATTCAGGCGTTAATACGCGATTTTACAAAATGTTCTATGATATTTAATTGAGAAATATCAAACGGTCTCAACGAATAGATCGGCGACTCACGCGAACAATAAGTGAACTACATATGGAGAAAATATATTCTACTAAAAATTACAACAAAACTTTATAATTTTGAATCATATACAAATCATGACTGAAATTACTATATATTTGTTTAAAAATATTGTGCACGTTTGACTTTTTACTACTATACTTAAAATTACTATAATTATTTGAATGTTCGTTATTTCGTGCATTCAGGAAAAGTGAAGAGAGGGGTAGATCGTCAATCGTCGTTTACTATCTCTACATTGAGAGTAAAAGTATTTAAAAAATAAAAAATATTTGTTCGATATCTGGGAATTAATGAAAAGTTTATTTACATCTTAATACTATTATTTAAACAAAATAAGCAATTGCTTTCATGAGAGGCTAAGGTTTCAAGAAAATGCACATTTTGTTATTTAAAAAATATTTTATATTAGTATAAATAAATGTAGCTTACACGATGAGAAAAAATCAATGCCTCTATACAATTATATCGAGACGTTTTCATCGACTTAGAAATAGTCAGATCAAATTGTTTTGAGACGAGCGATAGATAAACAACAAAACCTATCGGACGTATGAAGAGAGCGAAGAATAATCTCACTTCTTATTGCTGTGCGATAATTAAAATAATTTAAGAGAGGGGAAGAGAGAGAGAGAGAGAGAGAGAGAGAGAAAGAGAGAGAGGGGATGGGGGCAACGAATCATGCGATTTATCCGTGAATTTCAATTCTTTGCTAGCTATAAGCTAGCGCGCACACGTATATCGGACGGAGGAAATGCGATTTACAGCGTGTATCCTTATTCGCGCCACATTCCATTGTCGAGATGATACGTGTCGAAACGTATTGTTATTGTTCCGACGAAACAATCACGGCTGGCTACGTAGTCGACGCCACGTCGCGAGTTTCACTGTTTTCGCTAATTGTCTCGATGCAACCAGCGAGATTTACAATGCTAATCACGAGTGTGTCACGGTCCAAGACGACGCGGCGCAACAACGACGCGCGCTCCGCAAAAGTAAAAGCCCGTATATCAATAACTTGTAATCCGCCAGTAGCTGTAACTCATTAAGTATTGTTAACGAGTTGTCGTTGACGTCACGCAGATGTAGTGTACGCTAGAAAAGATGCGCAACAGTACACAGTTCTATTGACTGCGTCCGGATATTCACTGCTAGTATTGCAAATCTACAGTAGGTGTAACATAAATTATAGAATTTCAGTACTGGCAGTACTGAATATCGACCACAGCTATTGTCATTCATGACAAGTTAACGAGTTACTGAATCCATCTACTAGGCCACTGTTCTATACATAACTTCTAACAACTGCCATAATCATGAATAATTTTAGGTAATAAACCATAAATGATGACATGAGCTTCATAAGAATTCAATTAAAACCAAGAGAAAAATTAAAGACACATTAAATTACATCGAAAAATTGTACAAATATTTGAAGCAAGTCTCTTTTTCTCTTTCTTGACTGATTTATATAACTTGTAGGATCATCTTTCAAGTATTGTCGATACGTTTTCGCCACGTATGGGGCGTCTCGTTAAAAGTAACGACGTCGTCATTCATAAACGACAAGCATCGTCAATCGTCAATCATTACTGTTGGAACGTTTATCATTATGCACAGACATCGTTAGCATGGCGAAGCGACAATTGTCGGTAGATATGCACACAGAATAGCGGCCTAGATTCACACTCACGGCAAATATAATTCGCGAGCCGACCTCGATGCCGTGTGACAGCTGCCTGGGGAAAAAAAAGAATAAAGAGAGCGATAGTTATCTGCAGGCGTAACGCGCGCGTAATCTCGCTCGTACGTTCCAGCAAGTGGACGGCTACACACCTGGCGTAGACTACCCGATCTACAACTCGGTGCCGTTCGGCCTCCAGTTTACCTGCGGAGGGAAGCTACCTGGATACTACGCCGACCCCGAGGCCAGATGTCAGGTGCGTCCATATGGCCACCGTCTTTCATTCTCATTTCAATAATCGAGATTATTTAAATCTCGCTCGCGTGCAGTATCGGATTGCAAACCAATCTCTTTTTTTCCTCGTTTCTCCTCTCTCCTTTCTTTACGTTTGTACGCCGAAGTAGCAGGTCGACACGACGGATCAATATTGTCGAGCGATTTACGAACTGCTTCGCAAAATTGCCACGCGAAACGTTATCCTCGAAGATCGATACTGGAGTCGTGAATCTATCTCGTTTTTGTTTGTAATTTTCGAGAATCGATCGGGGAATTTCTATCTCGCTAAAGACCGAAGGAGGCGAGACTCGATCGTTCGTTTACTCGTTGTTTTATGATAATAACAGTTAATAATAGTTTACAGAAAGAAAGGTAGGAAAAAGAAGATAGAAAAAACAATAAAATACAGAATTAGATAATGATGATGATGAAAATAAAGAGAACCGAATGTGTTAATATCTGATTAAAGGTGTGGCATTGGTGCTTGCCGAATGGACGCCAGTACAGCTTCCTCTGCCCGAATGGTACAGTCTTCAGTCAAACAACTCGCGTCTGCGATTGGTGGTTCAAGGTACACGCACACGCGCACACCCTCATTAGTGCAGCTGATTTGTCTGTTATCTGGGAACCAAATGAAAAACTCGGAGCAGAAAGATTCCTGCAGGAGTTTTCTGCTCGAACAATTGCTCTCAGTTATCTCGGCCAAGTTTGAATGCAGCTAAACGTTCAGATGAGTGCTGTCTGTCACAGCAATAGTGATATTTACTCCTCGTCGGCGAGTTTTTCGTCTGGTTCCCATGGTCAGTTTCATGAACAGGAAATTGTCTTTCCCCGCATGAAGTGCTTCAACGCGCGTAAGAACGAGCGAGCTCTCAAGTAATTTTCGCTCATTGCAGGTCGACTGCAACGATTCGCCAAGACTATATGGCAACAACGACGAGCTGTACAGAGACGTGAACGGCAACAAGATTTAACGACGTCCTGTCTCTCGCTCTCCTATTTTATTGCTATAATTTCGAATGTACATTAATAAACTCTTTTGTACGTAATCTCCTTGCAAGCGTGACACGCGCGTCTGTAGCGCCGGGTGCGCTCGCGGAGTCTCGCGAGGTGAATGTGCGAACCAGCAACGCGGATTCCTAGTTTGCCGGTGCAGGAGAGTAACAGGGATCTCTGCCTTATCGCCTGTCAAATAAAACAGAGTTTGCGGAAGGGATTAGGAATTTACTGCGACCCTGAGAACCCTCAAATCGCATCAATGTCTCCACGGGTAAAAAAAGAAAACCAAAAAGAAAACGCACGCTTTGCGTTCTCTTGATTGCTCTTCTCGCGATTTCGCGTGAATCTTGCATACAGCTTTAAAAGAAGTATTGATAATGTCGCGCATACGCAAAGTGATCGCGAATTAGAGGAAGCATCTCGAATGTTTCGTGCAATTAAAACATCGAGCACACCTGATAATAGCGGCCCAGGAGACAACAAAAGCGTTGAAATCGAATTCACGCCGGGCAATTTCTTGGCATAATCGGACAATAGAAAGTGAGAGCACGTCGTGACTGACCAGTCAAACCCCTCTTTTCTCTCTCTCTCTTTCTCTCTGTCTCTCCCCTCCCCTCCTTCTCTCTCTCCCTCTCCCTCTTTCTCTCTCAAGCACTAACTTCTGCTACACTTTTCCAACGACGTTTTGCATGCGCGTCTCGTTACGCGAAACGGCTACGCTGCTCTTCACCGTCTGTCGCAATTAATCGTCTCAACGATCCCGGAATACTCTAGGCTTTCCGCGGCATATCGCGTTTCGCGACATCGCCGATATCGCCGTCATGTCGTACACGCATCGTCGCGACTGTAGGTGCGACCTTTATTGTCGTTATTAACGGAGGATTCGTCAGATCCGTTTGCAAATTCTTCCGCATGGAAGCACATATTTATAGAATCACCAAGGCTGACGCGCGAACAAACGACCGTTTCGCCGAGTGTGCACAGCCTCAGTCGCGATGATAGTAAAAGTGACGGGAAAATTGATCGGCCGCCGCTCGTTAGAAGCTCATAATTACGACGTCCTAGCCGGTTCTAACGTCGCACGCGTCGCGTCTAAGTCCAAGGGACAACAAGACCGCTGGAGCTAGCCGCGAGCGAGCTGGATTATTTAAATGCCGCGGGATATATATCAAGCTATAATTATGCATCAGCGCGCGGAGAATGATCGAAAACCACTATGCAATTAATTTTTCTTGCTTTCTTTTGGATTCTATTTATATAATTAACGTACCGCTGCGAAGCAATCTTGCAAACTCGCCGCGGAAAAAAGAGGAGAACGAGGAAGGAATTTTCCCTCGGGGGAAAATCGTGATCACTGCGAAATTTCGCGAGTCGAAAATGGCGCAGCACTCTCGCGTCGAGCCGGAATACTTATACTCCAATTGATTTAAGTCACAAAAAGAAGAAGGAAAAAGGAAAGAGAGAAAAAGTCATTAAGGACGGCAACCTGTCGACGACCGTTACAAAAGGAATCGCACGGAACTCGATTTCTCGACCTTCCGCGCGGCGGAAAGCCCACGGGCTTCGCCTGTGAGGAACGCGCGGCGTCTCAGTTCGAGCAAAAAGAGGAAAATGGAGAAAACGAGGAATGAGAGCGTCGTCCTTGGTGGCCGGTGATAGAGGAAGAAAGAACTTCTCCGTCGTTCTTGAGAGGCCAAGAAAGCGCTGCGTTGCAGCCCATCAAGGAGCGTACCAGAGGGACAAACCTGCGACGCGAGGCCAGGCGCTCCTCTCTTTGTAACGAGCAGGATCTTCCATTCCGCTTCGCGAAATCGTCGAGTTCCAGATCGCCCGAGAATGAATGGAACTCACATTTCCTTGAATTTTCCCCGTTAATGCTTATCAAATTCTCGTCAGCGCGACGAAATTATCCTCGATTATTGACTAAATGTCAAACAGGCTGCAAGAAGAAAAGTCAAACTACCCGCGAATTTCCGGGAAGTAATTTCGCGTTTCTGATATCGGGATAAATGAATTATTTTAATTGTACTCGACGTGTGCCTCTCGCACGTTATGTAGCGTTATGCAACGGACGCAAGACGATTTTCCCGTGCGACGTTACGTGACGTAACGCGAGAGGTAATTCTTCCAACCAGTTTGCAATGATTATCGCGCTCCCGCGGGAAGCTTCGCACACACATACACCGCCGGTTTATCGCAGTTTCCCTCAAATGTCACCAGAAGTCATCATGAAACACGACATACGGATTCCGGCGCTTACTTAATGTTGCGTTAACTATCACTGCGACGTTCTAATCTCTCGCCGAGCTTCACGTTCGTTTTCTAATGAGAGATCCTGTTACTCCCTTCGGTATCGGCGACTTTGTTATGCACCTGCTGCGCGCGACCCTGAGAATAATTTATTGAGAACTCGAGGATACCATGAGGATCCGCGAGAAGATTACGAAACTTAGCGACGGGAAACCTAGTTTTTCGCAGTTTCCCGTTTTTCAGGGAGTGTCCTCATCGGCGAGGGAACACCTCCAAGATGTGTTCACTCGGTTGCTAAACGGTTTGAATTCGATAAAAAGTTGCGAACAATCGCAACTTTTTATCGAACAAAGTTGCAACGCTTCATGTAGTCAGGATCAACCGTAGTTATGCAAGAATGACCCAGCTCGCATGAAACACGTTTCAAACTAAATGAGGGTAAAAACTTGATGCACGATTTAACAAGATTATGCATATAGATAACACCGAGGGTTTTCGCAATCGTTCAAGAAGTTAAGCACGGTAGATTTTCTTCTTTTTAAGAGTATTCATCGACAAGCTTGACCCTCAAAAAGTGAGTAAAGAAGGTGCAACTAGTAAACAACGGCGTAACTAGTAGAAAATAAAAACCCAGCTACCCATAGGACTTTTTTGTTTTATGTAGAAATACGTATGGACCACCCATTGGTAAGGAAAACTTAAAAAAGGGGAGCCAGTAAAGCCAATTTTTGGGCCATGAATGTCGCACTTTCTTGATGAAATATTAAATATTTGTATTTCGTAGTTGAGGTTGAGAGTTTTCCGAAACGTTCTATAAAAACTTTTTTATGTTAGGGAAAACTAGAGTTACGAGCCTTCAAAGTTTGGGTAATGAGGCCCACAGAATGGGCAATAGTAATATTTGCTTCTTCATGAGAATAAATAAACTTTATGAGAATTGAATAAACAATTTTTATTACATTTATATGTGTTTGTAAATCTGTGTGTGTATGCTTTTGTTAGTATGATTATATATAAATATGTGCATATATTCTTCATTTTACTCTCCTCTTTTTGTATACGGACTTGGGACCGTCAATGGTAGAGTTACTTTTTTTATTTTTAAACCGATTTTTAATTTTTGTTGGTTTTTCATCTATTTTCTTAATTAAAGTTTTAATTAAATATAGCTGCAAATAGTACTTCTAGAGTTTGCTTACGAAAGTAGAATAATTTTTTTATATGTAGAATATATTATATATAGTTTTATAGTAGAATATTTTTTTATATATTTAATACAATAAAAAAAATAGTTTATTTAGTTTTTATAAAGAAGCAAATATTACTATCGCCCATTCTGTGGCCATCATTACTTTGAAGGCTCGTAACTCTAGTTTTCCCCAAAGTAAAAAAGTTTTTATAGGACGTTTTGAAAAACTTTCAACCTCAACTATACGAATATTTCATCAAGAAAGTGCAACATTCATGACCCGAAAATTGACCTTATTGGCCTTCCTCCTTTGATGTATTGAATCACTCTTGCGTAAATATGGCCAATTAAAAGCCACTGCTGACATATGTACGTAGTAATCACTTACGAAAATAAATAAAAATCGCTTCCGAAAATAATGTTCTCTTAATTTAATATAAGTTTTTTCCCTCAAATTTCTTGTATCAGAACCGACCATTACGCGTAGTGGCTTTCAATCCTGACAACATGAAACGTCGCAAGATCATCCAATAAAAGGTGCGAAAACTGTTTAGCGCGTACGAGTATACACGCAACCTACGACTATTTCGGCTATTCTTTGTCAGGGCAATAGCGTCCGACGTTCCACTTTCTCTCGACTTCTCTGATCGATCTTTCATACGAATCCTGCGAGGTGTGCACGCACTAGGCACTCAGTCAGTGACAGATGACGACGAAGGGACGCGGCAGGCAGTGGAATGCCCCTCAAGGCAGCCAACGACCTTTCGTGTACGCGAGCTTTAGGGGCCAGTTTATTAACTCACATGACAATAGCTGTCGAATATGCTCGCGTTACGCAAATGTCATAAAAATCCAGCTATTCAGACTGATCTTCTAGAACATGGGCCCTACACGGTCTCCTCTATCTATTGTCGATCAGCCAATCAGATGTGTATCTTTCGCGACAGTCGATCAATAACGAGACAGTGCAAGCCTCATAATGCCATAAATTAACCATTGAGACCATCTGCCGATCGCGACTACAATCATACGCGCGCATACGTCGGTCCGTCGTAATTACACGTCGTGACGGCTCGTTGCGAATCAGACCGATTCGGTCGGCCTCTCGGCCCATAAGCAAATATCACGATCGCGATTGCTGCGCGCAGCAGCGACAGCAGCAATGACCTTACCCGTATCGGCATCGGGCGCTTTTTCCGCGCGCCGTGTGTGCGAGAGTGTCGAGTTCTGTCAGGTGGCGACGCAGGTGTCTCCCGGCTACGTGCCGCGCCTGCTCGCGTGCCTTTCTCTCGGCTTGGGGCCTCGAGTCCCCGACCACGACTGCGACGGACCTACGCCAATGCGAGATCAGGCCCCGCGGACGCCAATGGGCCGCTCGACTCCCTCCTTCTCCGTCTTCGTCGTCGGTCGTAGAAAGCTCAGCCGGACGGACCGATGGTGGTCGGAGCGCAACGCTCCTGCTGCTGGCTTTTCCACTTCCAGCGCGCAGTCTTCTGGCCGGACCGGACCCGCGATCTCGCCCCGTACCCACGAAAAGCCGTCGTTTCGCTCGCGAACGGCGCCCACCGCACGCCACGAAAATTCGCAACGCCGATATTTCCCGGGCGCGTTTTCCGCCGGCCCAGAATCGCGTCGTTAGCGGCGAGCTGCTCGCAATTCGTCCGCGCGCTCTCTCTCTCTTTCTCTCTCCCTTGCCCTTGTACTCGGATTAGTACTCGGTGGAGTTGCTGTTTTCAAGTGCCAGTTGATGTGAGGACGGTGGTTACATGAGGGATTAGCGAAGAACTAGCGGAGCCGAGAGACAGGTTTGGCACCTTTTTCCGTACGCTCTCTAGATACTCGCGTTTCTCCTCGCCGATGCCGCACGCATAAGCGGAGAGGAGACTGCCGTGCGATTTTGAGGAATTCCCCGGTGTCGATTGCGCCAATTTGCGTCGAAGATATCGCGAATTTTCGCGGCTCCCGCGATTCTAGTTGCAATTCGCATGCGGTATATTGAATCGCACGCTTGCTTGTCCGTTTATGAGCGAGCGAGTGAACGAACGTTTTCATCCTCCGGTGAAACGCTCGATGCATAGGTTTTATTAATCTCGAGCGTGCAATTACGGTCTACTGCGGATCCGTTGCGCTATTTGTAGCGCGAGGAAAGAAACGGCGTGCCGACGAATTTAATGAAATTCGCATTGCCTCATCTAATCGTTTACCCCGACTGAGTTCTCAGCTGCTGCCCGCGGTGTATCAGAGTATCATCGTTCTCTTGCGACAATTCGCGCACGTTGGCCATCACAGTGCTTTCAAAGAAGACATTGCAAAAGAGCAAAACTTACCGATTCTTTCACTACACATTTCTTCTGTTCGCGATGATTATTCGTATTAATAGTTATCGTTTTGAAACTCGTCTCAAGTAAAACACTTCAAATTCAGAGTTAAATAAATCTTTTAGTTGAATCGTGATTGCAAATATCACTGATACCATAATTCAAGATCAGAAAAATTTAGACCTAACTCTGAAGAAAAATTTGAGGTTCGTGTTAATAATCGTTGCTTGAAATTCTTTTCAAGTGAGATATCCAGATTTGAGTTCAGGATTAGGTGAAAATTTCTCAATTGAGTCGCGATTGCATAGATATAATGTCACACATATTATATAATGTAACTGAATCCCTGATTAATCCCTGAAGAAAATTCTAAGGCCTCACATGAGACAAGTTTCAAGCGGCAACTATTAAATACTAGCCTTAATCGCGTCGTGTGGACGGCATAACTCTACAAGAATCGCAATAGAGACGTAGACGCGGTTGGCGAATAAAATTGATTCACGTGCGACGGCAGAGAGGACGGGGAGGGATGCGCAAAAATGCGAGCACGAGCTGCTTGGAGGAGCACATTAACGACAGGACTTTCGCTAGTGGCATCCTGTGCGCCTTCCTACTCGTGTGCGTTTTTGCATCCCGATAACGATGACAACGAGAGCGAACTGGTTTTATCGTTCGAATTCGCGACATCCGACTTTCCATTCGCGCGCGCGAAACGCGTCGAATTGCGTGGGCGCGAAACTGAAATTTCGCCCGAAATCGACGCGCTACTGCTCTTTTGTTCCTCCTCCTCCTCCTGCGCGTCTTGCATTTCTTTCTTGTCGCGCAATTTTCCGATACGCGAGCCGCGCGTATCGTTCCAGCGAAGTCACGAATTTCTAATCCGCTCGTCGAGGGAATCGCGAGTAACGAGAAGAGAGTTCCTCCGGCAGAGACGTGCACACTCGGCCGTCGCGCACGTGTGACGGCATGCACATGTATGCACTCGCGCACGCATGCACGCGAATTCACACGTACGCAACGGCACGCAGCGTGCGCTCGCTCCGCGAATCTCATTGCCGAACGAAAACTTTCGTCGCTGCGCGATGGTAATTTATACGTTTTGCCAGGCGGGAAATCAATCACACGCAGTTGCCGCGAGATAGCGATGGGATTTTCGTCGGTATCGCGAGAGATCCCGAGGAGGATAATGAGCGAATGAGCGAATTAACCGGCTGACGCGATAAACGTATAAATTGATCCGCGGATACGCACTCTGTACACACACGGGCCGGTAATCGCGAGAAAATTGCGCGATGTTAACGACGTTAATATTAATTCGCGAGCGCACTAAGAGAGAAAAATATTTGGAAAATTATTTATGGAGCATAAAATTTATTCGTAGAAATAAATTTTATTTCACAGAAATGAACTTTATCTCGCAGAAATCAACTCTATATTCCGCAAATTAATTTTCAGGTGTTCCTTCTCAGTGTAAACACAGAAAAATTACAGATTTTTTTTTCATATAAATCTTTTTCAATTTTGCTGTATTTTCAACGCACGAAAGAACGTCAATAAGATACGTTCTGTTAAGAAACATAGTAAGTTTCACTAGAATTTTATTATGTTCCGCCAGAGACAGAACAAATTTTTTAATATTATACTGACAAAAAAATACTTGAACATTTATTTCTATATAAGATGTAAAGTTTATTTAAAAAGAAATAAACTTTATTTTCACAGAAAAAATTTACATCCCATAAATATATTTTCAAATATTATTCCCTTAATGCACATTCTAGTTTCTAAAATATAAGTAGTACAAACGAAATGGAAAGATATTCAATTACTGCAGAATGTCGATTTTACTTCTCAAAATTTCAAATTACTAATTTTTGTTACAAGATTCTCTTCCTGTAAGTTCCCAGATAGTATCGCGGACGTTTGTGTGTCCAACGATACGATCGAGTCAATCAGATACGGATTAAGTACTGATGCTTCATTAATTTTACGCGAAGAGGCATTCCTCATGCTTTTCAAGCAATTGCATTTCAAGCGACTCCCTTTCGACCGAGTCACGATGGCATTCGCGATATCACTCTGACATTCCTATCGTGTTCTAACTTTTATTCAATTTTAATCGCGGATTAATCTAAGTCGAGAATTCACCGACGTGCTGGCAACCACGATTAGGTGGAGTAAGTTTTCCGTAACCTCGATGTGGTACCTCAATCGGCTCCGTTCTCTCTCTCTCTTTCTTTCTCTCTTTCTCTCCCCCCTTTCCCACTCTCTTTCCTCCGCTCGTGTAATTCATCGTCCGACTCCGCGTTCTAACGCGTCCACGTTCACTTTCAATCGGCGGATTCCGCGACGGCGATTGTATTACACGTTCGAAAGTGAATTTAATTTGCGGAGGAGCGCGTTAGAGGCGCGACACGCCTCTTGCCGAGCTCTTCTTGAACGAGACCCACCCTTTCCCTTCTCGATTCTGCACCAGCCGCTTCTCGCGGAGGCCACTCGTCGTAATCGCGTTTACAGCACCGTGACGCGCATTCCCACCGTATGGCGATTGCCCGAGATCTCTGCCGACAAGACAGACAGATCTGATCAGTCACTTCGAAATCGTCGCGCCTGCGTCACGTGAGTCGATCGATCGATCGCGTCCATCGAGACAGCCCATATGTCCCCGCGAACGTGCCGCGATCGGCACGCATATCGCAATATGCGCGAGAATTTTCGCCGCGCGCGAAACACGTCGTCGAAACACGTTACGTAATTAAAAAAGTTTCGTAACCGCGCGGCTCACTGCCGGCCCATTTTCTTGCCTCGCCGATATCGACGGACTGCCGCTGCTACAGCAATAGCAGCAGGAGCAGCGACGACGACGGCAGGAATGGCGACGGCACGTGCTCGGGCCGATGTGCCCCTCGCGGGATCTTTTTCATAAACAATATTGCACCGCGCCGCGTTACGACATAACCCATGCTCGTCGTCGCGAGCGGGAGCGCGGTCGGCTTTCTCCCGACACGCCGGTGGAAAAATAAACGATCGACTTCGCCATAATCGAGCGGCCGGATAGTTTTACGGCGCGATCCGTGATTCGCGCTCGAAAGCTGCACGAAAATCCGCTCTTGGCCGACGGTCGGTTGATCGATCGATCGATCGATCAGCCCGTCGCTGAAGCGGCACTCAGCGTACGATTTTCGGGCACTCGCGTCTCGAATTAAAATTTGCGACTTTTTAATTGACTACCTTTCAATTGCATATCAGGTTCTGGTAAACACTCCATGACATCATTGGGTAGATTCATAATTCTCCCATTTGAAATTTTGAGGAGATTTCATGTATACGAGTCAGAGGGAAGCAAACACTTTTTCTCATAATGTCTTCTACATTGTCGCTGCGTAAATATTTTGTTGCGTGACAGTCTTTGTATTTCAAAAAAGATTGATCGAGCTACGTATTGTCGATTTTCTTCTAAAAGCCGCAAAGTTATATAATACAAAAATTCTACTTTGCTCAACTTTATATTTGAAATAACAATTTTAAAACAATACTTTATAGCAAAATGCTATTACGTAAAAATGTTCAAAATAGGTTGTATTAGGTTTCGGAATATCAAAATAAGTGTTGGACAGAATAGTGAAGCTGAAAATGGGATCAAAATTTCGACCCGAATAGGATAAATAAGATCAAAAGATATAGATTTCAGAATATCAAAATAGGTGTTGAATGGAATAGTAAGGTTGAAAGTGCAATCAAAATTTCAACTCGGGATATTACATTAAGATAACCCAATATTCGCGTACAAAATATGATTTTAGGCCAAGCTTTGCTTGGATTCTCACACTGCGCGGGAGAGGAAACGCGTGTTACGGTGAAAAGACGCTCGCTGGAAAAGTGAGGCGGCAGTAAAATAAAACATCCCGCCGTTCATAATCGCCGAAGTAATTCCCTTCAATTGGAAATAATTGCACGGGAGAGGTACGGACGGCCGCAGGGACGGGAGTGAATAAAATTTTCATCGCCGACCACGGCACCGGCTAGCTCGGGTTACTCTCGGTATTCCAGCAACTGTTACTTTTATTATCCCGCGCGCCGCCGTCGCGCCGCGCGCGATTTCGCGGGGATAATCGCATTCGGTGAGAATTAATAAGCGATCAAGAGGACAGCCCGGGCAAAGGTGCGCGCCGAGTCGACGAACCTGTAACGCATACCGTCGGCTAGCCGCGCGAATAACGCGAGGAATAACGGTACGCGCGTATGATGAGTCAACGGTAATCGTTATCATATTGTGAGAGGTGAAAATTATCGCTGTATCGTACAGGCGAGCGTGATAAACACCCGACGAGGGTCAATGCAGCCGATAAAATATAATCTCGCCCAGCGAGGGTTGGGAGCGGATCCCCTGAAATTTTATTCTTGCGTATAGCATCAAAATGATTCTTCTGAAACCAAAAAGATATTCTATACGCAATGTCTTTCAAGTTAGAAGAATTTTGTCTCTTATCTATGAGCATAAGTCTTGTATTTAATTTAAACGTGGGATCAGCAATAATCCCATTCAATATCTTTCAATGATTCAATGATCGATCGATCGATCAGCGCGTCGCTGAAGTAGCACTCAGCGTACGATTTTCAGACACTCGCGTCTCAAATTAAAATTTGTGCTATTTTAATTGACATAAACTACTTTTTAATTACATATCAGGTTCTGATAAAAACTCCATGGCATCATTAGGTAGATTCATAATTTCTTTATTTGAAACTTTGGGGAGATTTTATATGTATGGATCAGAGGGAAGCAGTTTTTGAATCTTTGAATGATTGAAATTTTGTAACATATTTACGCTAAAGTATCAGATACTATATGATTTTCAGTCACTCGCGTCTCAAATTAAAATTTGTGCTATTTTAATTGACATAAACTACTTTTTAATTACATATCAGGTTCTGATAAAAACTCCATGGCATCATTAGGTAGATTCATAATTTCTTTATTTGAAACTTTGGGGAGATTTTATATGTATGGATCAGAGGGAAGCAGTTTTTGAATCTTTCAATGATTGAAATTTTGTAACATATTTACGCTAAAGTATCAGATATTATACTGAGAAAATATTTTTATACGATAAAAACCTTTGGTCCCCGTTAAATTGCTGTATATTTATTCTCATGTAAGTTTCAATATACAGAAGAAAAATAAACTCAAAACATGTTGGAATCATATATGACCCCACTTTGTTTAAAGATTTTTTTCTAATAAAAAGCATTTCTGCGTCAAGTGAACATATCTCTCTTGATTCGAAAGGAAAATTATTAGAATAATTTCTAATAGATTTCTAATTAATGGCCCACTCTTCATTGGAAGAGAAATACTCTGTTGGTAATAGTTTTCACTTAGAATATGGGATTACAAGAAGTAGCAACCAGAGTTGCTTTTCCTGGCTGTATAGCTATTTTTATCGATAACTGCCGCTCGATTGTTGTTCCTTCAGTTCGCCGTGAAGTCAACCGTTGTTCGTATGATGAATCTTGAGGTGGTGTCGATAGAAACCAGACGGCCATGTGAAGGCCTGTACTTTCCTGGCGTTTCGCCCGAGGATAAAACGAAATTTGACCAACAGCGCTTTCATAGTGAGATAAGCAGACCGAATACCGAGTCGAAAATGCGTCGACGAAAAAGTGTGTCATACCTCGTTTGCACGACACGCGTCTACTGCGTCTGTTGCGAGAGCCGTCTACTTTCGATGAGGACAGCCATTCGTTTCGCGCAATCCCGTGACGACAATGAAATCATTTATATCGTTTCGCGCAAACTCGTCTGTCGTCGCGACTTACAAAAGTCGTCATCAGAGCAGAATTGGAGAATGAGGATTCAGCAGGATTGCAGACTGAAACGCGACCAGTCGGGACAAAGCGAGCCACGATTGAAATTAGTCGATTCATCAAATTTTGATCTCTAATCCGCAGTCATCACAATCTATATACCTAAAAAAATATATATAATCTTATGCTTAGTATAATCCTCTTATATCCGACCTCAATATGATTCTTCAATTAAAATCAAAGAGAAAATATTTTAACACCTAAAAATGAAACTCTAGTTGCAAAGTGCTAGTTCTTGTAATCTTATGTTCTAAGCACAACTTTTACCGAAATACTTTTCTTTTAATGAAGTAGACTCTATATATTATTGATTCAAAATCAGATATATTAATAACTTTTTTCCTTTTTACAGTCAAAAGAAACCAGGAAAAAATTGGTTGTATCAACGTGAAGTTTGGTTTTAATGAAATGCGTTTTGGTTGAAGGACATAGAATTTCAGTGTATATGGTGTGTAGTTCTTATGATCTAACCTTTTGGGTTGCAAAAATCCAGAAATTCCGTTTTTTCTCGTGTTAATATAACCAAACTTTCTTCTCCGTGTTGAAGTCTTCTCCGATCTTATAACTAAAAGACAAAATTCCCCTAAATTTAAAAATATTGTAATTTAGAGAATTTTTCTCCCGGTTCTAGAAGAATTTCTTTGAGGCCATACATGAGAGAATTTCGCCAAGGATGATATGCTATTATTTTTTGGGGCGCAGTACACACACTACTACTAACACTACTGACACGGGCTAAACGCGTCTTCGTGATTTTACATCCGTCGGAAGCGTCGAATGTTTTACATGACACGTTGACAAACAAATAGATAAATTTAAATGGATGCTTTTATTACCGTCCTAGTTTAAGTTATTATATACTACTATTCTAAAGATAATTCTAAAGAATAAAGTTATTGTAACAATTCAGGTCAGGAATTTACCGAGGCAGAAAGGAGAAAAGGGAAAAGGAAGAAATAGAAATACAAGAGAGAAACCTCACTTAAGATAAATGAAAATAAGAGAAAAGAACCCGCGCGCGCGCGCGAGAGAGAGAGAGAGAGAGGGAGAGAAAGAGATTATACAGATCGGAAGCTACAAGTGCATTACACGACACGTTACACCATAGAGCAGTTTGCACACGGTGAAACTTACAACGTAGTAGGAAGCGCCACGCCGCCGTAAAATATCTCTTATATGAGCCCCCGTCGCTCTCATTGTGCTCTCCTCTCTAACGAACAATCGTTCGCACGGAATAGGAAGAGCAGGAAGACGATGGCGGCGCACCGGCTTCACGACACATTAATCGCGCTAATTATACTCGGAGCAGGTCTCCTTCTCCTCCTCCTCCTCTTCCTCCTCTTCCTCCTCGGGGAGAAATTCGTACGAGGCGGAGCGGAGGATCATCCAATTTTTTATCCTCACCCGCGCCCGTTCTTGAATAATAACTTTCGAATAGTTTCGCCGCTATCAGAACGACGCCCATCGGCGCCGGCGGTTATTAGCACTTCGCGCTTACATAAAAGCTCCTTGATGAAGCGTACAAAATGATATTAATCACACATCATCGTTTATTTAAGTATCTTTTACGTATAAACATGCGAGTATTCCCAAGTCGAAATCTTGATCCTACTTTCAGTCTCACTACTTCATTCAACATCTATTTTGACGCTAAAGAAAGTGAAATAGAAATTTCAGACATTATTAGGAGTAAATTGTATCATTGGAATTAAATATACCGCGTACGATAATCGAAGAAAAATCTCGATACGTGCGTTTAACATACTGGACAATTTTATCCTCACATAATCATATTAATATTAAAAAGTAATATTAGTATTTAATAGCACTAAGACTGTGCTTGCTCCTTATGTGCCTTTTCAAATCTTACTATTAGTTAATCTATTCGAGGAGGTTTCTATTATTTCGGTTTAAACTTATTTTGTTAACTTAGCTCCTACTGCGTTGTAGAATTCAAAGTTTAACATAGGGACAAAATTTCGACTCAAGTTCGCTTATTATTTATACACTAAAATTTGTATGTCCACTTTTTGGGCAATTCACGTCACTTCTCTGCATCATTTATACTTATTATACTCTATGTATCCTTTGTTAATTTACTTTAACTTTTGCCTGTGCAATCCAAAGGATACATTCGCGCTAGTGAAATATACAGAGAGTAATCGTCCGATTAAAAGCTGACAAACGGATATTTCCGATCAAAATATCGATAAATTTTTTTGTATCAGATTAGGAAATATCTGATGAGTAATATCGGTTGATAATTTTTGGATCGGTATCTGATAAAATGTCATTATGATCGGACATATTCGATTAAATTTAATCGGATATTCTCGGATAAATATTCTCATGAAAATTAATCGAAATTTGTTCGGAAATATCCGTTTGTTAATTATTCTCATCGAATAATTTCTCTCAGTGTACAATGACGTGGGCGTCGACAGTGGTCGCGCATCTCGATTCACTGGCGGGAATTTCGGCGCGGAACAGCTCTCGCGCGACGGCAGTCGTGCCGCATTATTTGTCGCGTGTACCTTACACAATGATCCCGCCGGCGCGGCTCTTACCGCGATACTTTACGGTCGAATAAATGTTATTCGCAGCCGAGAGTGAAATCATTTATTCCGGAGCCGGTTCTCGCGCGCGCCGACGATCGGCAAGAACGGCCGAAACACTTTCTGATCGGCTCGAGTTGGAGCGCAATTCTGCGCGTTGCCCCGACGACAATTTCCACCGAGGCCGAAGAGGCTCGATCGGCTGCGCAAAATCCGACGATAATGTGTAAGTAAAGCGCGCGACATACCGCGGCTGTCGGTATGTTACGGCGGCGTTCGCGATAAGCGCCATTATTCATCGCAGGCCGATCGAACGGTATATCTCTTTGTTGCGCAAGCGGTCGCTTTACGGTAAACGAGCCCGATTATTTTAATTCCGTGACCATTGGAGCGTACGTTCGAGCGGCCAGCGCGAGCGCGCGTTGGAGGCTAATCTCCGAATACTCTCTACCGCGAGAGATCGCGAGAGATCGCCGGTGTGAGTGCCGGTTGCGCGTTCGCGCGCCGAGTCTGCGCCGACGGAAGATATTCGACATAATTCCTCCGCACGCGAATGAACGATAACGCGTAAAAAATCAGCGGAAGCCGGCGGAAAGCTCATAAATGGATTATTGTCGAAGGATTTGAATTTCTAAATTCTAATTGGAGAAATCGCTCTACGTGGCGTCACAACGGAAGCTCGGCACGTGGAAGCGCGATAGGCCGCCAAGATAGAGCTCGAATTACGGCGCTTTGAGAAAATCTGACTCGCCTGCTGAGCCGACGGGGCGAATGATCGGGAGGAAAAATTGCCGGCCGCGATGAATTGCACTTCATGCGCCTTTATGCTTGCATCGCAGAGAGATAAGCGATCTCCCGCCGTCGTCCACTTTACTGAGTAAACAGTACTCAGTTTAAATGAAAAGAATTTTCATTTAAATGAATATATGTTAATAGTACGCACTTAATAAGTATTTGTTAATTCTTAGATTTTCTTGCTTACTACAATATTTTCTCCATGTAATCGAAACAATAATATAACAACAGAAGTAAAATTTCGTTCCCGTTTTACTCACCGTGCCGGCGATTCGAGTTCGTGAAGCACTTGAGCATCTTCGCGAGTGTTTACTTCCCTTCCGCACACAGTCAGGAAAAATTCCGTCTCGATAAGGCTTCCGAAAATCCTCTCTTGGCAGTTTGTCTCAGCAAATTCAATGTTATATTCTGAAATCAGATAGCGACCTGCGTTATTTACGCAGAATACTTACTGCGTGCGACCGGCGACGGTTCTTGGCCGATTATTATTAACGTTCGCTCCGCATACGTTCGCCTTGCACAATCGCACACTTTCTACCTACAGGACAAGCTCACAACTTACCACCGACGTAATAACGAATGCCCTGCGTGCGGATAACGTGATCGGCAAGGAGAAGAGCGTCATGGATTCGTGACCGGTCCGTCGCACAGTGCGATCGAATGAAATTTCATGTCTGAAAAAGAGTCCCGAGGTTTCAGCCGATTTTGATGAATTTTTTAATAAAAGCTCAAGAAATTTGGAACAACTTTGTCGAGCCAGAGTTTTGTCTCTTACTTCTCTTCTTCTAAATCAGACATAAAAAAGTTGGATGTAGAAATTTTTCAAACTTCTTTATATCTGATTTTGAAGAAAAAAAGTAAAAGATGAAAATCTGATTCGATAAAATTATTCTAAATTTCATTAGCTTTTATTAAGAAAAGAAGAAATATCGAAATCGATTCACATTTCAAAGTTGCAGCCTTTTTTGAAACATGACGTTTCGTTTGATTCCGCAATGACAGAAAAATGTTTGATATTTACAACTATAATCATATAGAGAAATAATTACTATAAATTATGGTCAAGACAACCATTTCTTAGTCAATTGTGCTGTAATTTTAGTGATAATAATTTTATATGCATGTTACTATTACTATTTTCGTGTTGAAACAACAAAAAATATAGTTGGTGTCAAATTAGGTCTAAACTATATTTTTTGGTTGTTTCAACACGAAGATAGTAATAGTAACATGCATATAAGATTACTGTTGTTATTTCATTTTCAAAAATATTAAGGTGAGGTTGTTGAGAAAATAATTTATGAGATATTTTACATCTTATAACGAAAAAGAATTACTAGGATAAAATATAAAATATTTCTAAAAGTATTTCTATTATTTTAATTCAGTACATTTTTACGCAGTATAATTAAAAAAATCAATTCATGTTAAAAGAACTATATGATTCTATTAAAAAAATTAAAGTTAATCTTCACATGATCTTAGCGAAATCATTAAAGATTAGGTGAGGATCATCATTATCTCTCTTAGAAAGTTGTATATTTTGAAATTTCACGCCTGAAATGCTAGTTCGTATTTACATTTCCAAATCATGTTGAACTATTGACTTAACATTAGACTGAATTTTAAGTTTTTCTTCTGATTTCTATATATGTTCAACTTTGTTTCAACAATATTTATTCTTATGTGTTGTATGTCATATATTCATTATGTTTCGAACGGCCTTAAAGATAGTAATAGTAACATGCATATAAGATTACTGTCACTAAAATTATAGCACAATTGACTGAAAAATGGTTGTTTTGACTATAATTTCTAGTAATTATTTCTCTATATGATTATAGTTACAAATACCAAACATTTTTCTCTCAGTGCGCCGCGCGGGATCGCGACCGGTCTGTATCTACTCGAAGTGGATACGGCAGACGCTGTCACGCGCGGAACCGCGCCTGACCCGATTCGATTTAGTTCACTGCAATCGCGTCCTGCGCTGTCGAAAACAGGCGCTGCAAAAAATTCGCGCGTTTTATTTTCTGAAACCTGTTACTTCCACATATTGCGGTAGACGTGCGCCGCACGGTCATTTCCCACTTGCGAAATTTCACGACTCGAAGATCAACACCCATAAGGCATGTAGTATATTTTGCGATTTGGCATATCTGGCGAACTTAAATGTCAATCACCGGTTGTAAATTGCGTAAATTTCGGCCCCGTGCGACGCTGTGTTAGGTTATTGAGCCGCAATTAATTATGCACAAAGTATCGGAGCGTGTTCACCGTTCTGGGGAAACCGTTCGAATGTTTGCCGTCTTAGATACACGGCGCAATCTCGCCTCGCTCCTCGTTGCGATTTCAGTAATGCGTGTTAACGACGCCAGGAGTGGTTTTCCGGAATAAGAGAGAAATGTACAGAAAGAACAAAATCTCTGTATCGCGCAATTCCGCGCCATAGTTTTGTATGTGCATGTGCGTATACATGCTTGCAACCGCATCTCCAATTAGCGTTTCTTCTCACCGTATCGCGTTACAACCGGCGTCGACGCGTGAGTTCTTTTCCCCATCGACGATTTTTCCGAACATATGACCCGATGGAGCCGCATGGCTCGAAGCACGCATTCGAAGCAGCGCCCATGAGGAAATGAAAGCCCGGCTGGCTCCCGTGTGCTCCGCTTTTGAAGGCTACCGAGTTTCGTAACCGTTGTCTTTCAATGCGACGCCCACTCTACAAATGTCGTCAGTCACAAGCGGAACAAGGCACTGCCGTAAATAATCATCAATTATGAGAAAAATAACGGAGGAAAAATTCGCGTGTTTTCCTCCCGAGATATTGTGCGGAAAGCGAATAGATTTCGCTGAAGTGAATTACCTTTTGCCGCGCATACGGAAAAAAAACTTCAGTTCATGTAACTGTCTGGAAGAAAAACTCGCTGACGAGAAATAATGCCTCTGTTACCGAAAACATTCGTCTGGACACTCGGATTAAAATTCGGGTAAGGTAACTCAGAACAATTGACCGAGTAGAAAGACTCTCCTGTAGGAAACTTTCTGTTCTTACAACCGAGTTGTTCATTTGGTTCCCAGATAATAGAAAATTCAGTTACACCAACGGAGTTGTTTTCTCCGCACAGGCCGCGAGGTCCGATTTGAGAGACCGAATCGATTGGGTCGACTGCTCGTACCGGCCATCATTTCCGGTGACCTTTCACGAGCGTGGATGACCGTTAGCCGTATGTCGTAACATAACGTAACTTACCGTAAGGTAACGTCACAGATAACACGTTCCAGACTTGGCGCGGAAAAGCGTGGATGCTTGATTAACGTGGTGTGAATGATTTTAGTGCATTGAATTAAATGTAGGAGGTCAGATGGAGAAAATTATGTAGGAGGCAGTACATGGATAGTGTGTAAGTGAAGGCGAAATAAACCGGGATTAGATAGTAGAATTCAGGATGGAAAAAATGCATAGATAATAGAGGTTATGACATCATGAGCAACCGGTTAGAATAGTAAATAATACAGTCAAACTTAAATTAGCATGGTGATGCAGAGGAAATTATCGATCAAGGAAATGTATAATAGAAGTGGTGATAGAAGACAAAAGTACACAAAAGGAAGAAGAAGAAGGAAAAAGAGAATTGTGGAATTAAGGAAAGTGTAATTAGATATGACAGATAGGGAGAAGGTATAGGTAGTGTAAAAGTTAGATGAAAATTAAAGAGATTGTGAAAGAGGGTTAGGTAATAAGAATAACATTATCAAATTAGAAAGAGGCAATGTAACTATATATAGGAATATTAGCAACTGGATAGGTAGAAATAAAGAATGGATGAATGTGTGTGTGTTTGAGGAATATAATTGTAAACCAAGTCCCCTTCTTGGTTGTGTAAGCTGAAGGAAAATGTACTGATATTCTCTCTGATACTAGGTAACACGTTTCACGCGTGCATACATGAGGAAGAGACCCTCCGCGAGAGAAACGCTCGATAATCGATCAAAGCCGTGGCTGATCGCGTTCAGATCTATCGTCCATCGTCTCCCGCGGTGCATAATTAACAAGCCGGAGCTCTCTAACGGCACGATATGGTCATACTGAGAGAGTTAGCTGCATTTACGGATGATACGCATCTCTATGACTATTTCTAATTAATAATACTATGAAGATCGTAAGAAAGACGAGAAAAGCGGTAAGCGGTGAATTAACACCATTGACAGCCATGGTGATCATCAATTACCGGCACTATAACTCAAGTAGAAAAATTTCCAGGAAAAACTGGTCATCAGAAATTGGTCAATAACTAGCCAGTAGTCGAAATTCTTGGCCAATTACTGTGCTGTTATTGACTAGGAAGAGGCCGCTACTTCTATTTGGGAATGTCGCTGCGCTTCAGCAACTTACGTATAACCAATTACTGTCTGCAACTGTATAACAAATTAACCATCGGCGTACAATCGTATTTTTTGGGACATACAATCTAGGTCTGTCAGACCAACTTTGAACTATCATAACTTTGTTGAGTCAATATTTTTGGACATATTTTTTTCAGAGGTACGGAGAAGCCTCGGCTGTAAGATGGCAGATAAAATGAAAATCTGCAAGCAAATTTGCACTATTTCAAAACTTTTTCGAATCTTTCACGAAAGTTGTTTTCGCAGACCCAGCATTGTACACGCGTCAAGTCGATGGAACGAGCTAACTGACGTACGCATCGCAAATTGCGTCTACCTTACCGCACACATTCGGTGGCTCAAACTTGAATTGAGCATTGGAACGATTGGTGGAAATCGACAGCGACAGTCAACGAGTTAAGTATCGGCGCGCGTTGCGAAACTCGACGAATAATACGTATTCCGCGGCATCGAAAGCGTGACCGTGCGGAATATATTCGCGAATTTCATTTCGAGAGCGCGGCGCGGCTTCAATTTACGCAGCTTCCGGATAAGAGTGATCTGCAATCTGACGGACAGGAGAGGAGACTTCCCATGTTCCTCGCGTGTACGTGAGAACTCGTCCACGTTGTGACACGAAACAAGAGGAACAATTACGAAAACTTGTGTAATCGAATAATATGGTCTTGTGCAGCTGCAGCCAGCGGGTGGCGTCCTTTTACCTCTCCCTCTCTCTCTATCTATCTGTCTATCTATCTATCTCTATCTCCTTCTCTTTCTCTCTCTCTTTCTCTCACTCTCTTCCTTTCCTACTTTTACAGAAACGATAAGGATCGCGCTCTGGGAACTGGAGCGCGATAGCGCGCTTAATTAATGCGAGCGTGTGCGGCGCGGCGAGTATACGTTTGGCTCGAGCGCTCCACATTTTTGTGCGGAAACCGAGAAGAGCGTAGGAGATCGCGTGTGTTTACGTTCGAAAAATCATGCGCCGGCTTTCCGCTTAATTAAGGCCGACAGGAATTGAAGTATCGCATTACGCGCATGTCTGTTGCAATCGTAATCAAATGCCAACTATCCTCCCTCCCTGCGAATCTCTCGAGATCAAGTCGTTGGCCGCTGCAAAGGTCACCGATCGCCGATGGAAATTTTTTGACTCGTAAACGACTTGACACGACTAGTCGCTCGAAGCTGCAGCGCATTCGCGGTCTTTAACCGCGTCAAGTCCAAGTTTGGTTATCCAATTCGACAACACTAATTCAACAGCCGGCAGCTCGCCGGATAACTTTCACCGGAACAAGCGAAAGAAACAAAATCTCAAAAATGCGACGACACCGGCGCACCACCTATGCCACCACCTATGCGACCCAAACCCCGGGGAAAAATCAAGGTCGGCCGTTGTCTCCGCGTGAGGATAAGTTTCTGGCAATGTACGATCGTGATCGATTTCATCGCGAATAAAAATTGCGAGCGACCAACGGCGGCACGCGGATATGAGCCGCGTGCGCAAGAAACCTAAAATTCCATGGCAACGTGAATTCAAGGTCCAGGGAAAGGATGGAGTGTACCCGGGGGGACAGCGCGGTAGAACCCGACGACCGTAGACTCGCGTGATTGTCTAGCACAACGAGTTGTCGAACCGGCCGACATTACCGCATCGGGCGTCTCTGCCGAAAGAGCCGACGGCTGTTCTCCAAAGCGCGAGCTTGCGCTTCCAGGAGCGTTGTGCTGGGCCTTAATTATCCATTCACAAACCGTTAGCACACAAAGTCACACCCGGCATTACGTGATCGCGCATTTATATAACACCCACATTATCCTGGCATTATATATATGGTTAGCAATGGTGACAGCACAGAGAAAGTTCCCTATCCGTTCCCATATGCTCGAGCACCTCTCCGCGAAGTCTACGCGGCGCGCTGAGACACCGCTTCGATTATGCCTGCCGATGTCGGCAGTGCCGTGCGATCGTCGTGTGACCCCCCCCCTCCCCCCCGTGGCATTTCATCGACATGTGTTGCAAGCAGAGCTCTGCAAAATCAAGGCCCGGCAATGCTAATGCCCGATTCGGGCTGATTCATTGTCAAATGTAACCTGGCTTCATTCTGTATATGCTCTTTGCTGAAGTCACACCTGCAATCTGCTTGTTTGCTGGCCATCAGTTTAAATTGACAAGAAAACAATCAGTTCCAAGCACGTTCTGACTTTGCCAAGGTTGGATACAGCGCGCGAGAGGTTATATTTGATAATGAATCGGATTGGATCAAGACTTGATTCGCAGGATGCAGCGTAGAGTTTATATGAAAAAGAAAACTGTAATGTCTTCTACGTGCAGGACGTAAAAGCTGACACGATAAAGAGGCTGAGAAAGATAATGTTTCCGACAGCGTCGCGCGTACAAAGAACCTGGGAACTCGAGATTTCTTACGTGATTAATACTTAACGATCAGTTGCAATGAATTACTAGAGTTTTTATGGAATTTCCAGCCGCCACCTCGTCGCGAGAGATCGCATCGAGATCCGCGAATAATAAGTTACCGGGGGAATTCTCTTTGCGTCGCATAGAATTTAATTACGCTCGTGATAATTACGTGATAATTGCTCTATCTGTTGCAGTGCCAACATGCGGGAGAAACGATGGCTGCTGCTCGCTCTGTACGGTAAGCACGACAATTTCCGTCCGACGATGATATCCAACGTCGGCTCCCCGATATTCATACAAGAAATTATTCGATAAGAAATTAATAAACGGATATTTCCGATTGGAATATCGATAAATTTTTGTATCCGATCAGAAAACTTCCGATGGGAGATATCGGTTCTTAATTATTTGATCGGTTTGTCTGATGAATTGCCATCATAATCGGAAATGTTGGATTAAATTTAATAAGGATATCCTGATCGGATATAAAAATTAATCGGTATTTTGATCGGAAATACCTGTTTGATAATTTTTTATTAGATAATTTCTGTCAATGCATACTTATATTCGATTTCTACTATTTCTTAAGATCCTGTTTAACGTGCTTCACAAGAAGTAAGAATCCTCCTCTCTTTCTCTCTCTCTTTCTCTTTCTTTCTTGCTGTTCGTAACGTTCTTAGTATTTTTGGACTTTCCACGACCGCGGAGGAATGCCGAAGAGACAGTGGACGACCTTCCTTTCCGTCCCGGGAATCTCGGGTCTCGCACTGATCGATTCGCGACTGCTCATATAGTGTGAGGAAAAAGAAAGAAAAATAAGGAGACCCACGCGACAACGTCGACGACCTTTCGCGATGAGCGCGCACGAGATCGAATCGTCGAATAATACGAGGGAATCGCGAGAATTTCACGAAACACTCAAACACTCGAAACCGCGCTCGAGAGTGTCGACGGCTGCTTTGAAGGAACGCGTTGTACGCCTCTCGCGTACGAAAGGCAGGCCAATTAATTTTGCGAATCGCGCGCGCACTTTTCTCCCGTATTTCACTTGCACGCGATCATTAATGTTAACTCAAGGTCCATAAAAAACAGGTTTTACGGATCGTCAGAGGAGAGAAGAAGAAAGAAAAAAAATAAATACCGAGGGATAGACCGAGCGCGCGCTTCGAACGGTCTCCGACTGCCAACGAGATGACAATCTTTTTATCTGGCATCAGAGAGCGCTTGGTATTCATACCGCGAGCGGGATCGCGCGTATACGATTTGCACAGGCGAAGGTAGGGTCCCACCAGGCGGAGGGAGAGACCCGTCGTGAATGTCAAAAGGATCGTTCGCATTGTCCCGCGGCGAGGTTTCGGCCGGCGATCCCGAGAACGACGTCCCGAAAATTTCAGACGAGACGATCGCCGAGTGTTCATGGCGATGAGACGGCGAGTCAGCCTTGTGGAAAACGGAACGGAGGCCGAGGAAAATTGCGCTAAGAAGCAAAGCGGCACGACGCGGGCTCGCCGACTCGACCTGTTCCTCGCATTGCAGCGGTTTCAATCGATCGATCGATCACGCAGTGATGCAAATGTGTGCGTTAACATTTAGAATGTTTCCTGACATTTCCGCGGCGAGCAACGCCCGATCGGAGGTCTCGAAAATCGCGCTCGAAAGTTACACGGTGTAACAGTCCTGTCCGCCATTTTTACGGCATCGTAAAATGTTTACGATAATCGCTTCATACGCGCCTCAGAACGCGCCTATCGGACGCTCCTACTAATAGCCGGGTATCCGTTAATTATTAGCGCGAGTGGATCTGTGAGCGCGTTTCACGGCAAAAAGGCTACAATCTTGAAATTTAAACACGATACCATCTTTTTTTTCTAACGAAAGCCAATGAAATTCAGAGCAACTTTGTCGAGCCAGATCTACATCTCTTGCTTTTCCTCTTCTAGACATAAGGAAGTTGGTTTTAGATATTCTCTTCGATCAAACATTTACGACAGATGCGGAATATATAGCTCAAAACTTGTTATTTCAAGAATAATAATTAATAAAAAGATTTGGTAACGTAATACTAATTATCACTGAATTTTTATATCACTGAAGAGGATTCATAATTGAGCCAAAACGTTTGATTATTTATATTGAGTATTCATGTTCAATAAATATTGCTCTATTTCCTAACACAAGGAAGGTTTTACCCATATGGTACATAACACTTTATTAATCCTGTGCTTGAACTCGAATTAGCCCTTTTTCCTATTATTTAATTGATATCATTGTTATTGAGTTCTTATTTTCTTTCTCTTAATAATACTAATAATTTGGTGTTATTTGAATTAGTAGTTTCTATTTACTTTAAAATTAGTTAGTATTTTAATTAATGTCGTTTGTTAAGTTAAAGTAAGATTTAATGAGTCTATATCTGTCTGTATGATTTTTCTCAAGCCTATAATCAGAGTTTGAATATTCAGTTTCAATATCGATATTCATGCCTGATGTTAAATTAAATGAGATATAAAATGAGTCATCCACTATTTGATTAAATTTCTGAATCCATCTTCTTCGCACGTCTGGTTTTGAAGGAGGAAAGCAAAGGACAAAAATCTGACTCGACAAAGATATTCTAAATTTCGTTAGCTTCCATTAAAAAAAAAATCAGCATCGAAATCGATTCAAATTTCGAAGCTGTAGCCTTCTTTGGAACATGAAACTTCATTTGACCGCATTGCGCGCCGTGTAATTGCTAACGAGGATCATCGCTAAAATGAGGAAGGAAGGCGCGGTCCACGCCCTTCGGGAGAAGTGGACGAAGCAGAAAACGAAGAAGAAGAAAATGTCAGGTCATTCCCATTCGATCGAGACTCGGCGTCGCCGCCAGACAATCGGATGGAGCAATTTGTTTATACACCGCCGACGTGATGGTAACGGCGGCGACGGTTTCGTCATGAAACACGATTTACCGTAACCGTGTATGGGAGGGGTGCACGCCCACGTTAACATTTCCCACAAACGGAATGCGAGCGCGTTCCCATAATTCATTTTTATGCAACGCCGGTCGGCGCGCGGTTCTCGTTATCGATCGCGACCTGGAAAAGTATGATTCCGTTGCACGGTCGCCGGGCCCCTATATGCGCGTTTTCAACATCGCCTTCGAGGACACCCACTTTCCGGCCCGTGGAGCCCGCGCTGGCCGCCCTGAGACGCGGACGCGTTTCTCCGCGCTCGGGAATCGCGTCGGAAGAGAGGAAAGCTCCGAGCGATCGATCGTAAACGGACAATAATTACGAGTTCCGTGGAATTTATCGCTCGGCTACTTAATTAATGACCATTCCCCGCCGACTTCCGAGCGTTATCGCTTGATTGAACGAGTGTCCAGCGCAAGAGTTATCAATTAACTCTCGTTCTCCTCTCCTCGGAGGAGCGCGTGCCGGCTTCAAAGATTGATTCAAAGTGAACGGTTTATTGATGGCAGACAGTTTGTCGAGATACCTCTATTGAAAGAAAGCGAAAAATAAGGCGCCTTGTACCTCGCCGCGGCCATGTTGTATTTATGACGTCAGAAGCGAGGAATAATACGCTGACGAGAGTTGCGCGTGCCATTTCTAAATAAATACGAACGAAAGGGCACTTGGGATTGCTTGAACGCACTTGTAAAATTTTCTAAAAACTATCTATTTTCCTTGAAATTAAGCATGTAGACAAAAACTCGTTTCATCTTTTCATGTGTCTCACTCCATTTATTTATCAAGAGAAAGGGATATCTTTCAGACAATTTTACAAGAATGCTCAAGCAATCTCAAATACTCCTTGGTCCGTATTTATCTTTATTCAGAAATGGCATGCAATTTCCAAATATGTAATTCCTCGCTTCTGATGTCCGACATGGACGGCGAGGAGCTTTAAGTATCGCGCGCCACCCGCTCGTGAAGCCGTCCGCTCAATTTTCTCAGCTCTCGGCTAGCTCTCAAAACAGCCTTGAACTACTTCAAAGCAGTCGCAGTTCAGTTGCAAGGTTTCTGGAGCAATTAATAACGGCTGAAAATGACTTTCCGCCTCTTTCACTCGTTTTAAGTGATGAAACACGAACGTCGGGAGGGAAGTAAAAGCTAAGAATAGAGAAGCGTGAATAGGGAGAAATCGAGAAGCGGAACTTTATCACACCCGAGCACACACATACCCACACATCAAGAAACGAAAAACTGAGCTGGCAGATAAAACGAAATTGGAGAATGGAGAAAGCAAAGGAAGGGAAGGGCGGCTTTATTGTTATCACTCGTGGTATGGCAGCTCCTACGCGTAATCGTAAATCGTCGAAACGTGGAAGGGAAACGATCGATGGTGCGGCCTTGATCCGTTTGAGAACAATTACCCAACCGAATGCACTCGCTCACGGTGAGAGAAAATTGCGACACTTACAAGCCGGCTTCTCACCACACTCTGTGCACGCCTGAGTTTCGCAACGCCGACGCTTCTCCGCGATTTGCGCAATCCGCGGATGCGTAGTGGCCTTTGACTACTTTCCTCGGCGATCATCATCGGGGCCGTCGGGTACACCCGCGGCCGCGGCTCCGTAATCGGGACGTATTTATCTGGAACACGCGTAAACGCGTTCTCTCCGAGCCGTGGGAAGTCCCGCGATATCCGCCGATCTCACTCTAATGACCGCCAAATCGACGATTTTCCTCAGTAACGAGACGAGCTTTAACATCACGCACGTTGCAGGAATACTATTGGTCCACGCGGTCTCCGCTGCGCTCAAGACCAGGCCGAAATTCAAGATTGCGACTACCTCCACGTCGACGACGACGACTGAGGAGCCTCACGCGGAAGAAAATGAAAACGCGGGTTCAGAGGTACGTATCGGAAATGTCGAAAGAACAATTTTCTCCCGGGTAAAATACAAAGTTCCTCGACTTAGAGTCATGTTTGCAAAAATTTTAAATAATTTTAATAAGATTTAAATAATTTTAAACAAATTGAAATATCACACTGAGAGAAATTATTCGATAAGAAATTAACAAACGGATAGTTTCGATCAAAATACCGATGCATTTTTATACCCGATCAAAATATCCGATTAAATTTAATCGAATACTTACGATCATAATGGCATTTTGTCAGATAAACCGATCAAAAAATTATGAATCGATATTTCTTATCGGATGTTTCCTGATCACAATGGAAAAATTTAATAATTTTTCCATTCATTTTTCGATATAATTTTTACTACAATATCTTCTCAATCAATTTTACATTTCCAAGGCGACGTGCGATCGTGAAACGACGATCGAAGCCGTTGTAATTTGGGCGGACTCGATTCTCGACACGAAAGCAATGCGGAACTGTGTGTATCCCGAATCCTAGGGCGAATCCCATTTCCATCTGAACTATCAAACCGAAATTACGTTTCGACCCCCCGGGTCCAGCTTAACGCGGCATAGCGATCGTGTTGTTCGCGATGCGGACGAAACGCCATCGTTTATCGTGGCTCGTTGCAAAACCGATTCCGCGACGAGTCACGACGATCGTAACACGTGCACCGGGCACGAGTTGTTATTTCGTCAACGCGTTCCCTTTGCAAACAGAAGAAGGAAACCTCGCGATAGCGCGGACTAATGTGTGTCCGTGCGAGTGCAGACGTAAATTAGCCGCTAATAAAACATTCCGGGAACGGGCGATTGCAACGCGCTTTGGCGGTCGCGATTATACGATAAACGCCGCGTTATCGTTCTCTAAATCGCGACGGTCGAAATCACGAGAACGGCGGGAAACTGCGGAACACCGGGATGGGAAACTCGCGAATCGCGCAGAATTCGGTCAGTTTAGCTCGTTCGTATATTTCCAATGGAAATGTCAAAGCGCTCCGATCGAGTCGCGTCGGCGCCAAATGAATTAACATTAAGTTAAACTCGTGGTCGCGCGACAGGTTCGCCTTCGTCTTCACAAATGCCGATGTGACATCATCAAATCGTACTCGAGTGCTCATTGCTAAGCATTATTGCACGGCATAGCGACTCCTTCGAGCGTAAAATAACTTTTCTAGCGGAGCAATAGGCGATCTTTTCCCTTCAACGACACGGAAACTGCTATTACTACAAAGTAGTGAAACAATCAATCCAGCGTTTCCCGCAGGAAATGAAAGTTATTTTTGCGAAATACACGGCGTAGATCTGCACATCTGTGTGTTGAGGATTTGAATGATCAAACGAAAGTGAAGGTTCTCATAGGTGTACAGCCAAGAGTAACTAAACAATGAAAACCATTGGCTTCTAAGAGTCTTCATTTTAACACGTTCGCTACCCTCTATTCACGCGCCAGCGTGTGATGAGGTTCCTTCACGAATAGCCGGTCACGCATCAGCACATGATGAATGTATGCTCAGTTAAAATGAGCTGGCCGGTTGGACTTTTAGGGGTGGTGTCGTGTGTCGTTTTGGGTGGACAATGAACGTGTTAAATTGTGCTCCAGGCAGTAATATTGAACAAGATATGCACGTATAAAAATTTATTGTAATTTGATGGGAAATATTCGTTTGTTAATTTTTATCGAATAATTTCTCTCAGTGTAGGACGCAATTACATTAGAAAACTGCCTTTATTTTTGCGCTACATGATTAATAGAAATTTAAACAATATTATATTTCAATGATTTTAGATTTATGTTTTATAAACCTGCGTTATCTCTCTCTATACTATTCTAGCTATCCCTTGTGACGCCATAACCTCTTATCTATGCACTTTTTCCGTTCTGAATCCTGCTTTTTCACCTTGTTCCCAACGTCTTATCTCATTTTCACTCACACACTATTTACACACTCATTCCTATATCTATTTCCCTCTTCTGATTTATTCCTATATTTAATTCAATACCCTAAAATCATTTCAAATTCACGCATCACGTTCAATCAAGCGTCTACATACTTGCACGCCATCTAACCAAATTTTTCTATCTCCAAAGTCCTGATCGCGTTTTCTTTCAGACAACGGTGGCGACGAGCGAGACCAACGCAACGACCGGCCATACTTTGACGGGAATTCCGCAGATTGACTACATATGGGACCCGAACCTGCCGCGCGAGTTAAACGGTTACAATCTTAGCGATTATCCGTTCTACAATAGCATACCCGAAGATATCGACTTCAAGTGCGACGGTTTGCACGACGGATTCTACGCCAGCGTGCCGCACAAGTGCCAGGTAATTAATTTAATGACAGCCGTAGGTCGTACTAAAGATAACGTCTAATCGAGGCAGACAGAGAAGCGCTCGTCGTATTCGCTCTTCGAGCGAATCGAAAAATGGCGAGTAATATTAGGTTTGTGCAAAAGATTTTGTCATTTTAATTCTCGTGTGAAGTTTGGATATTAAAAAGAAAATAAGAAGTCCTCGTTAAATGATTGAAAAAATATCGAGTCGATATTTTATTAATAAAAATTATTAATGCGCGCGCGCTTTAAATTTCTATTATTTCGTCTTTTATTTTATTTAACAAACACGACGGATCTTTTGCACTACACGCGTGAGAACTTCGCTTCACGTATCACGCTTCGCGAGTGGAAATTCAGTGTCACATATATTGAACGAAGAAGAGCCTATTAAGAAATGTCTCACTGTCGCCACGTCCATAATTAGTGTAGTCAGCAAACTGGAATTATCACCTCGGCAAGAAAATTGACGATGATAGCACCGCGGCGAGAGGGAAGTTGATATCGCCCGAGTGGATCGTCGCAGCAACGTCCCAGAACGGCACGACAATGTCTCGTTCGCGTAATGAACAGATGTCAATGATCTGATCGACACGATCTCGAGTGGCGTTTCTAATGTTCAACGGAAGACAGCGATCATGATCTGGATTATTCGCGAGCGAAGTCACTCGACGAGAAGAAGCGCGAGCCAACGACAAACCGCGATCGAACGAAAGCGAGCACTCGGGCGGTGCGCGGGCGAGCGCAAAAAATGCGTATCGATCGAGCACACTTTTACCAATCATCGTCGCCGAGAGCGATCGTTTCACCGCGCGAATCTCGGCGCGCGAGGCTCGTGAAAACGGCCGATCGAGAAATCGAACCGCGGCGGGCTCGATCGGCATCGAATGATGATAGCAAACGCGTGATTACACGAGCGCGACAGTTATCGCGGGACGGGCTTTGGTCTTTCTTTCGCGACGTGAACGTGAGACTTGGCAGCGTGTTGTTAAACGCCGGAGATGACTCGACATCGATGTATTTCTGCGAAAAGATCGCGATGCAGATGATCAGTTTCCACCCGCGGATATCGGGCGCGATCTACAAATGCTTTGAAGCGCTTAAAGAAAAGGTGTGATCGATCTGTATGGCGCTTCAAAGTATTTGTAGACTTTAATGGTTCGCGCCCGTGGTCGCACGCATCGCCAACCTGGGCTACGTCCATCAATCGCAAATGTGCATAAACAAATTTTTAAGCAAATAGTATATAATAATTCTGTTAGTAATTAAGACCATTAATGAGAGAGAGAGAGAGAGAGAGAGAGAGAAAGTAAAAATAGAGAGAGAGAAAGAGTGTGTGAATTTGGGTAGCTTAGTTGGTAGAGCAGTTTCTCCGAACAGAGAAAGATCCTTGGTTCAATTCCCGGTCCAAACATGCCCGATATATTTTTTCTAATTTTTTCTACAATTTCTCACAAGTTAATTCAACATATCAAAGTGTTGTGATATTAAAATACGAGATTAAGCCACATATAATCCTACTGATAATATATAGTAATTTCGAACATAATTCTGTATAATCTAAGATTAAACATTCATAGAGAGATTCATATTCCTCGATACTTTCTGGGACAATTAAGAAAAAAAGTATGAAATTTTTCATCATTTTTACAGAAAATATTTTAATGAGAAAATGAGAATGCGCTGAATAAAATTTTCTCGTGTTTAGGGTTTACGTAAGTTTTTGATGTTTAAAGTGTCCTAAGGTTAAAACAATCATCAATATACTCTTTATGGCGAATGCAACGTTGTATTCGTGCACAAAACTGCATCTCATAGGGCGGCCATTATTCATACAATCGAGATATCAATTTCTAACGCGATTAGACACGGTCGCGAGGAATAGGAGAAGGATCATCGAATAATCGCTGTTCACGTCATTAATTCTCCATTATCGCGTCGGCTGTAACGCAGCGCGTTGCGCAGCGTCGCGGGCCGAGTTCGAGAAATCGATATCGAAAGTGAAGAAGAAAAAGAATCTTTTGCTGGCCGCGGCAACAACAACAAGGTCGCCGTGCGCAAGGTGGCAAGACGAGCCGAGGAAGAAGACTTTCTTGGTCCGCCACGCTTCCCGTCCCTGACCGTTCCGCGACTCACGCTACGCGCGAATCCTGGAATTGTGAAAGCGATTGCAAAGTAGCCCCCTTTCCGAGCCGGCTTATCGATCGTTTTCACGGGGCTGCAGAGCGAATGGAGGCATTGTCATGCAAATATCGGCGAGACTCGCCGGCCGAGAGAGGCTGCGTGTGTGTCGTGTCGCGTCGCGTCGCCGCCAAAGGCCGAAAAGGGGGCTTTACGTCACTCGATTCGCGGGATTCGCGGGAGATTTGTCGCGGAAGAGAAATTGGGAAATGAGCAATTAACCCGGACAGCTTGCCGCCAGGAAATCGCGCGCGAGAACCGGGAAGATATTTTCTCCCCAGTCCTTCCTGCGGCTGCGGGATTTACAATTGTAATGATCCCTGGGTGATTAATGCTCTCGGGCGTGATCAGTGCGGCAGTATAACGTTTACGGGGCGCGATAACGCGAGGGCACCGGCGTAAATTCAACGACGGGACAGCGTCGACACCCGGACAGGCAAGCACCTGAGGTCGTAACGGAAGCACTCGAGAGACGTCCGCGTGAAATAAAGAAAGATGCGTTCTGAATAATTCCAACGTCAATTCTCATGCAAATGACCCGCGATATGTTTTCCAGTATCCGGCAGCAGTAAAAGGAAGTATATAAGCCTCTCTCTCTTTTTCTCTCTCTTGCCGACTTTCCACTGTAAATTCTTCACCGAGTTGAAATCGTCGATCTCTGAAGAGAAGACTCCACCGGTCCGAGGAGAGTCCGATATCGATCGTTAGACGGAATTCCGTCGTTTGAAGGTTCTATTAGACAAGGAAACAATCGAACGAATTCGCGATATTCGCCGTAGGACGATCTCAGAAAAAATATCCGAGGATGTACGATACTTGCGGTGAGAAGATTCTATTCTCTCAAAGTGGATCAGTAAAAATGTTTTTTTATAGAATCAGTAAGAGGACTATCTCACGGATAATCAGTGAGTATTCACTGACTTTCAGCAGAAAAACTTCACTGCCCCATTTTATGTCTCACTGATTTTGATCAGTAGGATGATACGTAGTAAGATACTTCCCTGCAAGATCTATAGCGCGCGTTACACGTTGTGCGAAATTTAACTTTCTGAACGACTTCCATTGCATGCAGTCTGTCAATTTGGCAAATTGCACCAATGATGGTAACAATCGCTACTATCAACTGCTGATTCTTTCAGCAAGGTTTTACTGATTGCAGTGCTATTAAGCAAATCTATTCCTGTGAACTACTAAAATAGTAAAATTAAAAAGACCATTTTATGAAAAAGAAACCTACAATATTTCCTTCGTGCGAGTGCGGCACTTCAGTGAATACATCGATCGTGAATACACTTCAGTGAATACATACTTCAGAGAGTACTGACTTCAACTGCACTACGTCATTTGGACACTCTATTAAACGAACGATCGAGCGAGCGATATTCACTGTAGGACGATCGTAGGACAAATCGGGCCAAGGATGCCCGATGCTCGCGGAACTGAGGATCCTAATGACTTCAACTATACACTGCGAGATCGCTCCACGCACGCGTACGTGAGGCTCGTTAGAAGCGCACGATTAGGCGTTCGATGATCGTCTGACATTTAAGATGACGGGTTGAGTAAGATTCATGATCTATTATTGGAAGAACGGCTTCGACGGAGCTGTATGCGCTGCGTGCGCGGAATGGTTCCCGGTGAAACGGAGCCGAGCGTTCGATTACCGAAAGGATGTGCTCTGAATGATTCTAGATAATTCTTCCGCCGGATAATTCTACGGCGTTCCAGATAACGTCGGGGGCTCCTCGTACATACACACACACACACACACACAGAGAGAGAGGGAGAGGCAGAGCGGCTCGTACATGAAACACCGTGCACAATGCGCACATTTACGCGACCGGGTGCAATTACTCGCGCTCGTACACGCAGCCGCGCTGTGAGCGTGAAAGCTACACGGTGGCGTGCAGCAGGATCGCTCGCTCGTTCGGTGAAAAGTGTGCTAAAATCGTCATGTCGTCGACGCGTTGCAATCCGCCGGTTAGGAGCGAACAGCCGAGGGGCAACCAGCGAGATTAGAGTCGCGCGAGACGCCCGTCTCATCGCGAAATTCGCACGACGGCGACGAGGAACGGCCGAAAGGAGCGCCTTCGTCGCTCGAAAATCGCGAAAGTTCCCCGGGCACGTTCGCTGTTCACGTCGATCGTGTCGGCCCGCTTTCACCCATCGATCGATTCGATTTCGTAAATCGCCCGGCTCATTCGTCGAAATCCAATGGGCAGCGAGCGCTAACGAGCGCCGTCGCGAGTTCCCGCTGATATTCTAACGAGCGCGTCTCTCTTTCCCTTCAAGGTCTACCATCATTGCCTCTTCGGCACTCGCTACGACTTCCTGTGTGCCAATTTCACGGCGTTCGACCAGAAGACCTTCATCTGCCACTTCGTCTCCGAGGTCGACTGCACCAACTCCAAGAAGTATTGGCATAGGAACGATGCTCTGTACCAAGCGACCACGACCACCACCACCACTACGACTACCGTGGCGCCGGTCACCGTACCGACCAGCAGATCGGCCGCGCGCGACAGAATACCACCCAGGAGGCGACCACCGGCGCGAAGGAGGCCCTACGACTACTACGAGGAGGACTACTACGACGACGAGTACAGTAGACCGTCGCGAGACTTCACCGGCAGGGACGATTACGAGTACGACGACCGGAAGTACAGGAGGGATCGGGATCGCGAGTTCCGGGATCGAGATCGTGATCGTGACTTCCGGGATAGGGAACGCGGCAGAGAAGGATCCGGTAGAGACGATAGGGATCGAGACAGGTATTCGGCCAGAGGTAATAGAAGAGAGCCGGTCAGGTCGAGGGACCCGCTGGAGGACGATGTGAGACCCCGCGGCAGGAATCCCGATCAGGGTGTCAGATCTACGTCGAGGGAAGTGGACGACACGGACGTGTACGACAGGCGCACGGAAGCGAGGAACAGGGACACCGACGAGCGAAGATACTCCGATAAGAGGTGAGAAAGTCCTCATTGTTTCATTGACCGCACAAACAGTAGTCGAGCAACGAAAACTTTCCAGAGATAAAACAGTGACCAAAGATCCAAAAATCCAAGGGATATTTTAAGACCGCGCGTCTTCGCATAAATCTAGCGTGTTATTATTCAAATAACAAAAATTTGGAGCAAATAATCAAATTTTCATTTTCTTTTAAGGGAGATAAATTCTTGTAGATAATATAAATATTGAAGATTATTCATAAAAAAATTAAAAAATTCAATTTGATTTTCTTCAAATACAATTTCAATTCAATTTTAATTTTGAAAACTAAAAAATCTCTCTAAGAGATATTTTAAAACCATTCATCTTCGCATGTATATCCCGCGTTATCATTCAAGTAACACAAATTTGAAGTAAATAATTAAATTTTAATTTTTTTTTACGGGAAATGAGTTAATAATATAAATATAGGAAATTACTCTTCCATAAAAAAAATTAAAAAACTAAATTTGTAATTTTATTTTCCTGAATTTCAAGTAAATTTTTACTCGGTTTCAATTTAAATTTATCACGCGCTGCGTTCATTTCCAGATTTCGGGACGATTACGACGATAAGGAGTCCGCGGCACCATCCGTGAGCGCAACCTCGAACGCGGAAGGTCTGGTGAAGCCGGCGGCACCCATCAGCTCGGTGTACGCGAGGCCGAGGACGCCGCCAAAGATTCGACGACCTGTACCGCTGTCGGAACAGGACAGATACGCGTACAAAACTACTCCTGCCCAACCAGCAGGTAAGATCAAGCTGATAACGTTCCCAAGAGGAAGTCACCGAGGCGCTCTTCGAGGGTAACGAAGTGAAACTGTGTTTAAAGAGGAGTCACGCCGGCGACCCGCGGATCTGCTGGAAGATGATTACTACGAAGACGAGTTGGAAGATATCAGGCCGATCAGGAGACCGATCCGAAGAAGACCCTCGTACCGGGAGAGGGATAGAGACCGGGACAGGGACAGGGACTTTTACGATGCTCGGGACAGGGACCGTCCCCTCAGGTAAGGTAACGTACACAACACCGATACGGTTATGCTCGATGAACTAATCAGATCGCATGCATATGCATATTAATGAGCAATAGTAAGTTTATTATTCAACGATTGTGATTAGTTGCATTATCACGTCTTTCTATGAGGCCTGACGATGCAATCGCATATCTCATACTAATAATGACATCAAGAACAAATATTGACATGTATCACCAAAATATTCGCTGGTGAAACATTTTATGATTAAACTTGAATTTTTCGTACACAAAACTCTGCTGTAACTCTGCTGTACGGCATGTAAATAGCTAAGGTGAGATTTATAATTACTTCATGTCAGTCGGAAGCACAAGGATCTGCCGGACACCGACACACAACACGACCATCGACGCCATGTTCATCGTTGAATCAATCAATACCGACTAACGTCACTGAATATTTCATTTCCCAGAACTCGCTATCACTCATCGCCAGAAGAGATACGACTCAGGACGCATCAGGATCGCTCGAGGGATCGTTACTACGATCGAGAGAGAGACCGCGGTAACAGAGACCGTGCTCTCGATCGCGGCAAAGATCGCAGCCCCGAGAGAACTTCAGATCGGGATCGAGGAAGATCGCAGGAACCAGAGAGGCCGTCCGATCGTGATCGAGGAAGACCGCAGGAGCCGGAGAGACCCGCGGACCGCGATCGAGGCAGATCGCAAGACTCCGACAGGCAGGAGCGACCGTACTCGCCGCGGCTTCTCGATCGCGACAGGGATACCGAACGACCGCGATCATCCTCGAGGGCGAAGGAGCTGTTGGACACCACGGAGGCATCCAGAAGACCGAGCTCGTACGATCGAACGACTGAGAAGACCCCCACCAGCACCACCATGAGCACCACCACGACTACGACGACAACGACGACCTGCTTGCCGGAGCAACTCATTCAAAAGTCCGAAATGGACTCGAGAGACGCGATGACCGATCGTCCGGAGAAGACCTCCTACCCAGAACGACCGGCTAGGCCCACTCAGACTCAAAGCGGTCGCGTCGCAGTGGTCGACGCTCAGGACTACCAGAGAAATCTGTCTGAGAAATCCCAGAGAATCTCTCAGCAGACGGATTACCAAGATAGAGACTTGGACGGCCGAAATGAGCAGGCTCAGTATCAGATCCCGTCGGATGAGTATTCGGCGGAATACTACGATGAGCCATTGGAGGAACCGCCGTCTCCTCCTCCACCTCGAACCACTGTCCGGATCGTAAAGAGACCCTTCTTGCCGTCCCGAGGCGGCAATCCTAATCCGAGAGGATTATCACCGGTCGGCTCGAAGGCCTCGCACTCTCCTAGAAGGGACGAGGAGATGATAACCGATCATCGAGGTACTACTTTGACTGAGGATGAGCAGAAGGGTTATTACGTACAGGAAGACATTCAAGAAGACAGCAGAGACCTCAATCAGGAGTCCCGTGTGAACACGGAAAGCAACAAGCAGGCCTATGACGCCTACAAGACCATCCAGAGTGATCTCCAGAAGAAGCAACGACAGGACGAATACGACACCGCGATATCCAGGCCGGCGCTACGAAGACCGGCCGTAGAGAAGAGCAACGAGCAGGAGGAACAGGAAGAAGAGGAGGTCTCGAGGGGCCCGGAGAATCTCTCGAATTCATCACGAGGACATTCCACACAGAACCAATCGTACGACTTGCGCCATCATCATCATCAGACCGAGAACCTGGCGCCGAAGTGGATCGAGAACTACTCGAGCGATAAGCACGCGAACGCCGCCAATTTGCAGACACCCTCGGGTCCGCCGGTCCGTAGCAAGGCTCGACTTCCCTCCACGGAGACGCCCAATATTTACAGCTCGACGTACAAAAGCGAAGACATCCAAGATCTACCGTCAGGCCCAGGTAGCTATCGGGTGAAGCAGAGGATCAACGAGGTGACGCATCGGCTTCAGGATATCCCCGAGAGCGAGTACGACGTCACGTTAAACGACGCTCTGACACCCACTCTGATTCAGGAAGCCAATCTGCCAAGCGGATTCGTCTTGCCTCTGCATAGACAACTGGGCCGAGACACCGTCCTGCAGTCTTCCGAGAACAACTACAAGCTCTCCAGGCCGATTAATCAGCAACAGCAGCAGCAGCAGCAGCAGCAACAGAAAACGTTCGTTCCGAGCCCTCAATTCCTGCCGAGCATCAGCAACAACGAGCGAGGTCGCACGGTGTACTACAGAACGCCGGAGAATGTACAGATCAGCGGGGCGCAGTACAGACAGCAGAGAACATGGCAGGATTATTCGACGTATTGACGAGAAAAGGATATATACTCGGGTGGTATTACGTCATTACGACGTACTCTCTAAATTTCTCGAGGTGCGAAGTCTCACTCGAAATGCGTGTGAAAGCATTAGCTGCAAGTGACAGCGAAGATAAACTCGAAAAGAAATCTCAGTTCGTGACAGCAGGGTGGGGACCGGGGCGAAAACTCGGGGAAGATGAACGGTATCTCCGTTATCGCGACCGGAAAAATTCGTCCGAACTTTCGGCTGCGTTCAAACTTGGTTGAGGTAGCCAATTGACTGAATGGCAATTTGCTGCAGAGAGCTTTCCACAAGCGTTCCTACAAGTGAGTTTGCATCTGGTCCCAGGATAACACAGGTTGCACGAACTGAGTTTTCTTCTTTTCTTGTGCACTCGGGATCACAAGGGTGAAGATTTCAGTCGATTAGGATGAAATTGTTCCCGCGGAGTACACGGGTTTCGCATTTGAATTTCGAATGAGAATATTCACTCGACGATCTCAGGTGGGGAACTTCGCTCGAACTTTGGTTGTTGCTCCACTTTTCGAGGGAATTTCACTCAGGGGGATTTAGAGAGTACGAGAGGGAGCGATCGAAAATCCTCGGAGCGAGCACGGAAGCGCGCGCGTGTGTATCATCAATCTCAATTTCGGACAGGCTTTCGCTTGATCACGAGCACAAAGCGACTAATTTACACACACACACACACACACACACACACACATATATATGTACACACTGCCACCCGATCGACATCTAGGAAAGACACTTTCATGAAAGAAACCCGGCCTTATTTTACTTAATCATTCTCTTATGAAACTGGCTTTCCGCGAACGGACGTCGCGCCCGATACTCACAGCCTACCACCCTTGCAATCGGACGATCAGTGTCATTCGTTCCAAAGAACGCGCGACGGGGATGTCCGTCTCGTCGCGCCGCTCTGAGGGTAGGAAATAATCCGCGAACGATACAGTTAGGTAATTAGTAGGATGAACGCCCACGGGCGTTTGCGAGGTTTCGAGATAATAAATTATTCGATGAAAATAAAAAAGAGAAGAGGAGAGGTCATGCCTCTTGGGGGGATGAGACATCCCGATACTCATCGATACTCATCATTATTCGCGAACACCGCAACCGAGAAGCAAAGACGAGAGATCGATTGATGTCCATCGATAACCGGCGGCGATCGTAGATCATTCGTTCTGAGAACTTCGCTAGACAAACATTCGGAGTGATTAGCAAATCCGGTTACTAATGAATGCGTTAATGAATGCGAAACGCCGCGGCATACGCCAGATGTCGCGAGCGAGCTGTTTCCTCCCAATTAATGCACGAAACGTGACACGACGCGTACGTAATGACGATTCAATTCATTCGCGACGTTTGAACGCGCGTTCACTCGCGTCCGTCGGAATCGGAATTTCCATCGGCGTTTCCGATGTGCTGAAGACACTTCCTCCTTCTCCCTTTTCCTCCTCCTCCTCTTCCTCCTCCTCGTTCTTCTGCTCCTTTCTCATTTCGATCGAACTTGTAAATAAACGTACGATTCTATTCTCTCTGTATGCACATTCGTTAAATAGCAATTCGAAACACGGCATACGCGATTCTCTAGAAAGGAAAATAATAAAAAAAAAGAAGCTGTACACATTAAGTTTCATCGTCACGAATCTCGATAGAGAGACGTTACTAGCGAATAAGTCTTCCTGAGCGTATATCTTGTCTTAAAGCTATGTCGATATTTACGCGCGAAATAAAAGAGTGAGAAAAGAAAATATCACTTACCATCGTTGTCATTCATCATCTCTGCTGGTCCCCTGCGGGAAACTGCGCGATCGACGAGGCGCAACGCATCTAGAGACACAGTCGCGGAACTTTTGAAGACCTTTATTATTATAATACAAATGAGATAAATTACACAACGGAATATATCTCGATGCTAGAGGAAACATTCATAAAACGTGTGTTACAAGATCAAGTGGAGAGAGAAATCATCCTGCGGTCGCGAAGGCAACGGAACAGCTCCGTACTTTCAAGCGGCAAACTTGCTTTCCTTCCGGACAGCCTTTAAACAACGCTGTTTTGACTTACAGCCGCCTCTCGAGGCGCGGCATATACGCAAAGGCGACAGGAAGAATATTATCGAACATTGGTTTCAGCAACAGAGTATTGACAGGTA